AATACACTTCTATTATTTCAAAATGGGTTACAAAGGTTAACCTAGACTATTACAACAACATTAATGCTTAACCCTAGAAACACGGGCGTTACATGATTTATTGATGCTTGTTCTTCCAAAAAAGGACCCAATTTTATCCTAACAATTCAATATCAAACAAATAAGTCATCCAAGATTCCAAGTAATTTCAAGGTTAACAGCTACTAATTTCAAGTAAACAAGTAATTTCAAGGTTAACAACTACTAATTTCACATGAACAATAAGAAATTTCAACAAAAAAGCAAATAATTTGACTAATTTCATAAACCTAAAATTATCAATACTTACTTGTTTCATTGTATTTGTAGGATTGAAAGGAGTGTCAAGCCAAGCCAAGCAAAATCGAATGGCTGAATGGACAAATGGTTGTAATCGATTGAAGGAAGCAACCGATTTTTTTTTCTCGTCGACAGCCTTCACGGCTTCATGGGTGTCGATTTTTTTTCTTTTCTGTAGTCGATCGTCCAGCACTCCAGCTTCTTTTCTTTGACTGCCAAATGCCGATGGACATAATAGAAATTTGGGGTATTGGGTTAAAAACTTAATAAGCAACTTGGGCCACAAACTCACAGTGCATTTGGGCTATTGGGCTGATTTTCTTTTTTTTTATTGGACTAGCATTTTTTATACTTTTATTTTTTGGGCCTTGAATTCTCGAAAGTATAGTGTCACCCGAACGAATTTGAAGCTGGTGCACCTAATAGAATTTTTTTTACCCTAACGGACCGAAGCGGAGCAGTGGCCCGGGACCCCCCGGGCACCACACACATCTGCCACTGTTCATAAACCTAAAATTATCAATACTTACTTGTTTCATTGTATTTGTAGGATTGAAAAGAGTGCCAAGCCAAGCCAAGCAAAATCGAATGGTTGAATGGACAAATGGTTGTAATCGATTGAAGGAAGCAACCGATTTTTTTTTTCTCGTCGACAGCCTTCACGGCTTCATAGGTGCCGATTTTTTTTTCTTTTCTGTAGTCGATCGTCCAGCACTCCAGCTTCTTTCCTTTGACTGCCAAATGCCGATGGACATAATAGAAATTTGGGGTATTGGGTTAAAAACTTAATAAGCAACTTGGGCCACAAACTCACAATGCATTTGGGCTATTGGGCTAATTTTCTTTATTTTATTGTACTAGCATTTTTTATACTTTTATTTTTTGGGCCTCGAATTCTCGAAAGTATAGTGTCACCAGAATGAATTTGAAGCCGGTGCACCTAATAGAATTTTTTTTTACCCTAACGGACCGAAGCGGAGCAGTGGCCCGGGACCCCCCGGGCACCACACGCATCCGCCACTGAATACTTCAATTATACTTTTGTTATTTTCTTAAAATGCAATTTTAATTATAAATGTGTTTTAAGATCTTATGATTCTTGATTTAATCTATATTTTTTAGTTTTTTAAAGGGAAAATAACACAAAAGTCATTAAGTTTACACAAATTCTAATTTGACACTGTTTTTTTATTTTATTTATTTTATTTTTTATTTTTTATTTTAATTTGACACCGTATTTTCCAACCTGTTATAATTTTAACCATTTGATCGGTCAAACCGATTGATTGTCTACTGACGTGGCATGTTGACATAGCATGATGACCATATTTTGATTATCCATTATACTTCTTTAAACAAGAGAAAATATTGAAAAACCACAATTTATTGTAGATTAGTTACCGAAAAAACAAATATAAACCCCTCTCATAATTTCAATACATATTCAAAAACCCTATATTAATGGGGCAGGTCATGGGCACGTATTCTTGCCTTTGTTTCTAGGTTGGAGGAAAAAATATTATACCTCCTACGGCTCTAAAGAAAAGACTAGGAAATGGCCGGTTGATCAAATTTTGGACTGATGGATGGTGGTGACCAAATTTGTTCGATTTCTTTTCCTCGTATTTTTTAGTTAGATACAAATCATGATTATAGTGTGTTCTTGAGAAGGATTGAGGAGGGGTGGAGGTGGCAGTCGCGTATGCATGTAAGAGGTCGAGAAGAAACCATGCAATTAAACAAAATGTTGATAGCTCTTCAAAATATCTCATTGTCGGACAATGAAGACAAATGGTGGTGGGATATAGGATGTTTTGGGGAGTTCTTGGTAGCCGGATATGTGAAGATGGGTTGATAATTATATTCTTCATTCGATTGACAATCATATTAGGTGGAATCGTTTTGTTCCGAGGAAGGTGAATATTTTCGTGTGACATGTTCTTTTGGACGGACTCTCTACTAGGGATAACTTAGACAAACGTGGTATTGATATTCCGTCTATTCTTTGCCCTGTTTGTGCATTGGAAGTGAAGCAACTTGTCTTCTTCAAATGTGAAGTTGGATCTAGGACTAGGGATTCGATGTTTATGTGGCTTTATTTTTGGCCCACATGGTATGATTCCACTAGAGCTATGTTTGACTCAATTGATGATCTTCCTTGTTCTATAAAAAAGAAGCTTGTTACACTGTGATTTGGTATCTTTAGCGATTTGGTATCTTTGACTCAATTGATGATTTGGTATCTTTGACGATTCAGAAACAACCTTGTTTTTGCAATGAAGGAGTTTTATTTTTTATGGTATGTTAAAATAAATAGTAAAAGCTCTAGAAATTAAATTTGCGCGGCTGCATAAGCTTTTAGACTATGTGTAATTGGTGTTTTTGTTTAGTTTTTAGTTTCTTGTTAAAGTTGTTTTCTAATATATGGCTCTTTATAAAAAATAAAAAAAATAAACTTTTTGATTATTTAAAATCTCCCACAATTTCAATAAATATGCAAAAACCCTTATATTAAACACGATAACCCATATATTACACATATTAATTTTAGAAAAGCACGACTTATTATAGATATTTTATTAACATAAACCTTAGTAAACCTTTAGAAAAACGTAATTAATCGGTTTTTCTTTTACATGGTTTGAGTAAACACAACATTAATAATTTAATATAATGATTTTGTGGATAATTATCTTATTCAAATATAATAAGTTGTATTTGTTTAATAGATCCTGTAAACATACATGATGATGGATTATACATTTATAATAACCAATTCGATATTTTGTTCATTTTATTAACAAGAATTTAAACATGCACTTACAAGTTATAATGAAACATTGTGATTTTACGAGGACCATTTTCGTAAATATGTATATCGTTTACAAAATCATCTACCCACAAATTTCCGGTGTGTACCATACGCTGTAGAAATGGCACTTTCTCTCTCACAGTTCACTTCATCCCCATCTCTTCCTGCGTCATCGGCAAGAACATCCACCAATTATCGAATCATCTCAACAACAATCAAATCCACCCTAAATCCAATCACCAATTTCCCCAACACCACCATTCTCACCGCCGCAAACGGGAAGAAGAACCACCGCTTCGCCGTCATCGTCAACGCCGCAGAAGAACAACAACAGCAGCCCACCACCGCAGAATCCGAATCCACCCAAAAGCCCTCCTCCGATGAAGAATTAACTGAACTGGGTACGGAGATCAAAAAGGCGATGATGGATAGAGAGATTAAGAAGGATGAGAGTGTATGGGCCGGAGTAGTGGATGAGATAGGCCGGATCGAGTGGCCGGCGTTCAATAAGGTCCTCGGAACGACGGGGGTCGTGCTCGGCGTTATTGCTGGTTCCAGCGTCGTTTTGCTTACTGTTAATGCCGTTTTGGCGGAGCTTTCCGATCGGGTGTTCGTCGGCCGTGGGGTTCAAGATTTTTTTGGCTAAACGAAGACGATAAGGCCCAAGGGGGGAAGAAGCTGTTATCAAGTGTAACAAGGTCCATGGATATACTGTGTTCTACACCTCTCTGATTGCTCCACGTCCTCTTGTGCCAATTAGTTTAGTATAATACATTGAATTTTGCATGTATTAGTTTTACTTTTACCTATCACTTTTTTTTATCCATTTTGATATCTTAAATCTTTTTGCTCGACTAATCTGTGACTCTGTGTACATACTCTTGACAGCATTATTGTTTCCAAATTTGAAATTAAATGGTTTTCATTGAAGGAGTTCAAAAAGCATGACTTAATAAATAAGAGATTTTTACTAGAAGAAAATTCTCATTTTTTAAAGGGTAAATTACACGAATGGTCTATATGGTTTGGGCCATAAGAAGTATTTTTAATTCGGACGGTCCCTATTATTTGTTTTTATTGCGTCTTTGGTCCTACCAGTCTTAAAAAGACTATTTTGCCCTTACCATTACTTTTTTATATTTTAAATTCATTTTAATAATTATTTCTTATTATTGAAATTCATAATTAAATCACCTCCACCTACTTCAATAGAAACCCCCCAGTTCACCCTCTTCTTTCGTAGCAACATGAAAATCCAAATTGTTTGTGACTAGGCTGTTAAATATTTACCATGGAAAATCAACCAGCATGCTACCAACCGAACCAAAATAGTTGATCACCAATATGTTTGGTAGTCAACATCTTAGGTTGGTAGTACTATACCAATTCAATAAACTTGGTACGTTAATGGTAATAAATTTTAAATATTATATATATATATATATATATATATATAGTGTTGTAAAAGGCGTGTCATGGCGTGAGGCGTGGCTTCGCCGTTACGAAAAGTCTCATAACATTGCTGTTAGGCGTGGCGTGTGGCAAGGCGTGATATGGCGTGTTATGGTGCATGTTTTTTCGTTTGAGACATGTTTTTTTGCTCTTTGTTATGTCTTTTCTAATTGAGGATACACGTATTGTGTTTTTTGTTAACTTTTTGTTATTAGTTATTGATATAACAGTTCTAAAAAGTAGTTATATTTAATATAAATATATATTTATGTGGTAATATAATTATAAATGTTCAACTCTAGTTTTGACCACCATAAATCTACTCATCGGTACTTCCTCTTATTTGGCAAGAACGCCTCTCTCTGCCCTGCCTATGAACACATCGATCTTCATATTACCAAGAGTTCATGAACAAGAAAACTAGGAAAAATAAGGAAACCAGAAATCAATGAACAATTTCAGACAATTCCGATAATCACAACCCAATCTTTACTCAAACCTGAAAAAAAACAGAAAATGAAAATTTGATGAACTAAAATCAATTTTTACACAATCTCAGATAGTTCCTATAAATCACAACCCCGTGGATGATTTGAACCATAAAAACCCTAATTTGGTTGGCCGATTCTTAATTTTGTGTACAATCTGATGAAAAAAAATGGATTTCGAACTGCACAAAATCAGAAAAATACCAACCTCCTTCTCCTTCGGGAGTAGATTCCAATGGGGATTGGGGTTTTAAGGCGCATCATAGGATAGAGAGGCAGATTATATTTATAGGTCTTCAACATGTTAAGAGTTTCAGGGCTCATCAGAGGTTCATAGTAAGTGTTTCAGGCGTAGTTTGGTTTCAAACGAGATAGAGAGAGGCGGAATAGAAAGACAGAGTACTCCCACAAGTTAAGAGGGGAAGGAGATAAAGGGTTTTCTCACCAGCCCTATATGACGTTGTTGTAATCGTCGGAGGCCTTATATAGTTTTACTGGAATAGAGACGACGGGAGTATGGTGGTTTATGAGCCGACAGTAACAAGATTGTAATTGATGGAAGGGGACAAGAATGGTGTAGGCTACGATGGTGCGATTTCCTTGTTGTGGCCGGCGACGATACAGGTAACCTATGCAAGTAACCGATAATGTTGGTGGAATGGTGATGGTGGAAGACGATGGGTGAAGAAGAAGGGTTTGGGGGAGAATGCCTAACGTTGCTTAGGGTTTTAGGGATTCTTTTAATTTTTTAATTTTTTTCATTTTTGTAATATGTTATTAATAAAAAAAGTAAAAAAAATAAATAATAAATAAAGAAATAAATTATTAAGGGTAAATCAGTCTTTTTAGAATAGACAGGGACCAAGCGTGCAACTAAAATATAAAATAGGTACGGTCCGGGTTAAAAAAAAATATTAGGGACCAAACACACAGATTACCCTAAACCATAGGGAGCATCCGCGTAATTTGCCCTTTTTTAAAATCAAAAAATCAATAGAAAGCAGTTTGGTGTTTTCAATTTCTTTGTGCAGCTTTGCAAACCGAACATAAGACAACAAAGAATTCCATTACCTTTGGATTCCAATTCAGTAGACTTATTACATTCCTTTCAAAAAAACATTATGCAAACCAAACACCCCTCTTGTGTTTGTTTTACTTCTTTTCTACATCACCTGTGAGCATTTCAACACATTGGATCGCAAAATAACAATAACAGGAAATCATAGGCCACAAAATCTTTACTATTTCAGAGGTCAATCATTCAAATTCAAAAACAAGTAGCAAAAACCATAACTACTAATTATCTTTACTCTTACAAATCTCAAGATCAAATCATGTTTATAACAGTCTATGAAAACGCACGATAACACGAACAAAAAAACATACCAAATTCATCACGCATTTGCAGGACCCACAAGAACACCCTGGGCAGACCCTTCTTTCTTGCTATTATCATCCATGGATTCCCCATCATTTTTCCTAATTCTAATCTTGTACTTAGTTTCAAAATCAGTGAGCTCCTTCTTCTTCCTCTCCAAAGCTTCATTAAGTCTAGAAATCACCACTTCAATTCCTTCCTTGTTTTGTTGGACAGCTGGCAAGACTTCCTTGATTGTTCTCTCAACAAGCACACCTCCAATCATTCTGTAGCAACGTCTGGTGGGATCCAGTGGCTGAATGGCATTGATCACCAATGAGTGCTCACTTACTTCCATCTCTAGTTCTGTGATTTTTGAGTAAATCTGATTCATTTCACTTCTTATGTTTCCATATTTTGCAGCAACTTCTTGCTCATTAATTGGTTCAGCATTGCCAGCCATGATGATACTTGAAGATGATAAACAGAAACAGAAATAGAGATTAGTTTGTAGCTAATATATAGGTAGAATAGTCATTAAGCTATGGTGATATAAAGCCACTTCTTTAACAGAGAAAACAGTATATAATTGATAATTCCAAAACACGAAAGTGTTTCATGAATCATTCAAGCAAAACTTTCTATAGCAAGAAACCATCGATTCGAATCGGATCAAATGTACATGTAAAATTTATGTTGCAAAAGCATCAAACTTGGCATATGCATTCCTGTATGCCCTATAACATATACACCAGTGAGTTTCAGAATTCAACCAGACAACAGCAGAGAAATGATGGCTACTAACCCCTATGAAAAAAGAACTATACTAACTCATAACAGCCAGACGTATGCAAATAAAAGGACGATAGTAGAGAACTTGATAAAGATACCTAGCAATTGCTACTTTTTAACAGATTCATATGACACAGAATGTCCTCCTGTCATGATCTAACACAGCTTCGTAAGCTTCCTGATAAACTAATGATGTTAACAAATGATAGAATCAAAATATAATTGTAGAAAGTTGAGGTGGAAGATATGAACTCTAATACTTCCTTGATTCAAAACGTTGAAATTCTACACAAATTTATGGATTAAAATACGATTTGAAGAAAGAAAACCAATAAATATTGTGGAATAGATGCAAAGTGGAAGGTCGAATGTTTGTTTACCTCAGATTTCCGGTTCTTGAGCAGAAAGCGCAATCCAAACCCTAGCTTCTCCAAACGTCGAGAGAGGGAGACAATCAGTACAAATCAGTTATGGGCTTGTGAGCCGGTGCGTGGTTGGGCCTATGACTGGAGTGACAACGACGGAGACGAGCGCACAGCGACGGCGACGACTGTCGTAGCAAACCTTTGAAATCTCGAGGGGCAAAAAGGAAAAGAAAGGCTAGGGTTTAATTCGTTTTCCGATTACCGATTTACCAAAATAATTGGTTATCATCACCAATAAAATAAATACTAGGGTGTGTATAGGGCGGTTTGGTTCTGTTGTTGGTCAAAACCTAACCATAATCATTACAATTGGTTAATATATTTTGATAACCACTGAGTAGCGGTTAATATTGGTTTTGGTAACGGTTTTAGTTGGTTAATGGTTATTATTAATGGTTAATATCGGTTAACCATAATGGTCCAAGATGACATAAAAATAAAAATAGTTTTCTATAAAAAAATGAAAAATATGAAGTCCATTGTTATAAAAAATGAATGATAGTGTATATATAATTGTATTGATAGAAGATTACTTATCATATCTAATTCTATATAATTTCCTTTAAAAATTTCAATTCTTAATATAATTACATATAATATACTTACTACGTGTCATATTTATTGTTCACTTTTGATTTTTGAAGTCTTTATTTTTTAACTTTGACCTTAAATATTTTTATTTGTGTTATAAATACTTGGTTAAATTATAA